AATTGAGAACAGAAAAGTGGCAACACTCTAAATTAAACATATCCAATTTGTTGAAATATCAATGTAAGCAATAAATATTTAGTACAAGGTGTCGTTATCCTACAACAAATATCCATTACATTGCCAAACAATTATTTAGTTTGTTAGCATTAGCAATATGTGTTAAAAAGCCATAAAACAAATACCAAAGGCATGCCAAACTGGCACGATTTGTTCTTAACTTGACGTCCTTTTATTGTAGGCTTCGTGTCAGTATTTTATTGCCAAGAATGAATAGCAATTTTGACGAAAGGAATCCATTTCCAACCAGATCTTAAATCAATCCACTTTTGGGGTATTGACTATCCTTCCGATTTTATGGAACTAGCAATTAGTTCCTTAAATAGCAACTCGTGGAGAAAATGATAAAACAATCCCGAAGTAATTTTGAAATGTATACTCCAATGCTCCTATATAACGTAAACTGAAAAGGAAATTGTATCAGTCGTGTTTATTTTGATCAATAAATCATCGAACAAGATATGTTTATGAAACACTGTGATCCAAGTTGCAACAAAATTCAAATTAAATGGTAAAAATTACCACTGGAAAGGTCTTGTCACAAGGAACACACATGCCAAATATGACAGTCCTACCTCATACGGTGCAATAGTTGTGGGCAAGGTTAAAACTGACAACAGACAAACTATACAGCAGACAGCACAAAAAACAATATGTCCTCGACGTTTCAATTCGAGGCACGCACAGCCGATAGTCTGACCACAACCGTTACATAAATTAGTACCATTTTATACAGCATAGATTGATATCACTTTTTTGAAAAAAAGTATTGATATAAAATCATGTTAAAAAATGTTTAAAAAAAAACATGCTCAAGGGACATGATTTATTGATTAATTGACATGGATACTTTGTGCACGTGTTTGTTGTATTGCTGATGAATATTTAATTTATGACATTCAACATACTTGTATACATGGTATTATAACGCTTGGAGTTTGGTGACATTTTCGGGACAAGTGAAGCGCGTACGTTTTGTTTACATAAATTGTTCAATGCTTGTAAACTTGAATTCCTTCTGCTCTCAAGCTGAATGAAAGGTTCGTCGTGTATCCCTGCAAACAAGCTAAATCAGTATCGATTTAACGATTTGCTGGTTATCTTTGTAAACCATATTTGTAAGCATCGATCAGTTAGATAGTGATAAAGTGGTTGAAATGTCATGTCTGATGAAGTAAAGACAATCACTTTCTTTGGGACTTGCTTGAAACGCGTTTTCGATGAAGCAGAAGACGCTTACCATTCCAGACCACACAGTCTTATTTTCTTTTCAGTGGTATTCCTTTAAACCTTCATATTCGTCATCGTTTCATAAAATTTTATATAAAGATTCTGTTAAGATATAGGTATTTTCTTTCAACAATAAACGTTGATAAGCTGAATATAAATTTCCATATTGGTCCAGTTCTTGTATACCTTGTTCCCACTTGAGAACCCGTCGTCACTAACTTAGGTTGGCGAAGATTTACATCGTGGGTGTTGTCGATGAAGGATAAGACGCTTACTCTTCTGGAAGATATGGTCTTACTCTCTTTGTACTCTTTCAGATGTTTCCATGTAAATCTTATTTGTTCATATGTTGCCCTTGTTTAATTGAATATGCGTTTGGATGATGATTGTGTTGACATGTTGGTATTTCCTTGGATTTATGGATAGTGAAAGGGTAGTGCTAAACTATTTGAATGAATAACTTTTCTTGACAATGGATTAGCTGTATGGTGGTCAAAAAGGTAATAGTACCCACCTGTTAAATTTAAAGTTCATACCCTTGCTTTCTTGTCGTTCTCTTTCTTTGTTGGTACTGGTGCATGGTCTACGTGTTGGTGCGCCATGTTGTTATTGATTTCTATCGATAGAGGCTGACGTCGTGCCCACTGTTTCTTGGTATAAGTACGACAACTTAATGATAGTTGTCCGTGGTAACAGTTCCTAATTTAGGTCGAATATTAATGTCAACTCTATCGTTCAGGTGGCAGAACCCGACATTGTTATAGACGTGGTGAACGTTATTAGTTCGCCTTCTAGTAACTACTCGATCGTTTAAGGCGCTGAGCAAACGTCATGGTGTAGGGCTGGATATCGAACAATGGGCGTACAGAACTTGTGACCATCATGAGCACCTCGTTCTTTATGTTAAACAGCACAACGTTTCAGCAAGAGTAAGAACATCTATGTTATGTCAGGACCATCGCTTTCCCAAATTTCACTGGGCCCTTCTGGAAAAAGGTGGATATAAATGTCAGCAACTTCAAAGTTGAGGACCATTTACAGGAAGGAGAAAACTCGACAAGGCCTATGATTCCACGATTCCATTAGACGTCAGTGTCTTTTTATGTGGATTTTACGTATATTGAGAGGCTAGCGAAGTCTTGTCACGATACCTAAATGATATGGAGTCAATTTAGAGATAAAACAGATGTTGATCATTACTACTGATAAAGAATTGACAGTTTGAATGGTAATATCGGTACAATAATATAACGTTTTCGTTTTAATATAACGGAGGCTAGTACATAAACCTCACGTCATGCAACATATTTCATTAGTACTCCGTAATTCTAAAGCTTACACAGCCTCCTCATCATCAGCGTATATTAACACATTCGCATGATAAATATCGACACATTAAGTAACTATACTATATATACAATAATACACTGTATATACTAAGTAACTATACCACATATTCAATAATACATTGTATACACACATGAGATTGCTATACCATATATACAATAATACATTGTATACACACATGAGATTGCTACACCATATACACCATAATACATTGTATACACACATGAGATTGCTATACCATATACACAATAATACATTTTATACACACATGAGATTGCTATACCATATATACAATAATACATTGTATACACACATGAGATTGCTACACCATATACACAATAATACATTTTATACACACATGAGATTGCTATACCATATATACAATAATACATTGTTTACACTAAGTAACTATACAAAAATACATTGTATACACACATGAGATTGCTATACCATATACACAATAATACATTGTATACACACGTGGGATTGCTATACCATATACACAATAATACATTGTATACACACATGAGATTGCTACACCATATACACAATAATACATTGTATACACACATGAGATTGCTACACCATATACACAATAATACATTGTATACACACATGAGATTGCTATACCATATACACAATAATACATTGTATACACACATGAGATTGCTACACCATATACACAATAATACATTGTACACACACATGAGATTGCTACACCATATACACAATGATACATTGTATACACACATGAGATTGCTACACCATATACACAATAATACATTGTATACACACATAAGATTGCTATACCATATATACAATAATACATTGTATACACACATGAGATTGCTACACCATATACACCATAATACATTGTATACACACATGAGATTGCTGTACCATATACACAATAATACATTGTATACACTAAGTAACTACACTATATATACCATTATACACTGTATACACTCACTAAGTAACTATACCATATACACAATAATACATTTTATCTTGCCACTGCCATTGTCAGAATACACTAGTCACATATTCGGCTGTATTTTAGCAAGTACAGAATGACTTTCTGAAATTACTTTAAAATTACGTTTAACAATGAAAATTGCTGTTGAAATATGAGAATTTTGTATGTTTTATAATAATGTTATTTACAGAAATTCCTAAAATCGCTGTCATATCCGTTGAAGTTTGGAATTATAATTCTGCGCGGAGCAATTTTGTTTCATTATTATTATTGCGAACGTCATCAAGTAAAATTCAGCGTAACGTCAACGTCAGGAATGATCTGAATTTCGCAATCATTATTTCTGATTTATCTCTCCGCGATTGCCCGCTTTGTCTTCCATTTTATTTTGGTTATGATTGTTCTGATCTTTGCAATTTCAATTTTTAAAATAAACCAGCTTTTCCTACTGCTCCAAAATTTATGACGATATACTCTACCTATAGGTACACATACCGACGTGTAAATGTATACCTTCAGTGATTTAGATACATACAGTGTGCACGTATATATGTTAATCTTCCAACAACAAATTCGTCTCTGCACGTGATAAATGCAAGCCTTGAACCATGCCAAGAGGCAGGCTTCTGAAAACACAAGGTAAATTGCTATGGAAGTTTAAGTAAACTTGTATACCTGTTTCGGAACACAGCATGACACGTGGTGCCACGTGCACCACACATGCACAAATGAAAGCTTCGTCTCAATATCAAATTATACTCAGTCTAATGTGAGCTGTATTCTCATCAAAAATAGAATTACGTCTAAAAATTCACTCTGCTTTGTTTCGTTTATAAAACTAATAAATCCATCGTGATAAAACACACGTGCATCTGGTAATTAATCGACTTTCATTAGAGTCGTAATATGGTCGGTTGTCTCACCTGCTGGTCAGAATTTTCAAGGTTTGCCCCAAGGAGGCCATGAGCCACAGTCGATTGCATACATGATGAGGATAAATTGTTTGTAGTCTTAGATCGAATTTTGATTGTCCTACATACATGGATGACAGTATGTTTATCTACAGTGTGATCTATATGACCCCCAGCAGACAGATGTTACTATCTGTGTATTCCATCCTTTTTAGTTTTTTTCGTGTGACTTAACACAGTTGTCGATAACATGCAACAATGTATACATTTAAGGTAGTGTCGCCATTTTTAAAACAACACAATGTATCATTATCGTAATTCTGCAAGCAATACACTGTGTACCTATTTAGACTGTTATTCATAATGACTGTACTGTGAACCGCTCTGGAGCTAGTCTGGCCAATGGCAGCACATCTCTATTGGATAGAAAGATCACGTGGGTGAATACATTTGCTCTAGACTGCAACAACAGGGCGAGTCTTGGCTCTGGTGGAAGCCATTGACGAAGGGAGACACGAAACATTTCAATGGAATAATACAAATTGGAACTTTTTCGTTGCTGACAAAAATCGTTTTGGGAGTAGCTGTATTTGCTAATATACTTCAGTGTCTGGTCGTGCAGGATTTGTGAGGATTATTTATAGAAAATAGCGACTAAGGTAAGGGAGATATCTGTCTTTGATATATTGTATATTTCATACAATTTCCAAAAGGATTGATACAATGGTTTGTGTGAGGGTTTAAATATAATGTCGATAAGTGATTGTCATGTTCTCCTTTGTTAGTTGAACCTCTTTCGTGACAAAGTCAACACATAAATATTTTCATTTATAATTTATCCCGGGCAAAGAATTCAAGCGTCGCCATGTTTCTCTCCAAGATTCGTGGAAGCGAATTTTTTAAATCCACGAATACTGTACTTACATTTGCCTACATTTCATTAACATCAATGTGCTTGGTAGTTTGATAATATTTTCTCGTGAGAAAAATACCACAAACAAAAGTATGTGCAAAATGAACAGATATTAAAAAACACTGGGCTTTTGCACACATTTAAGTGCAAACAGCATATGTGCAATGTCGCAACCTTATGTAAGTGTGCGGAGAGTGGGCGTGTCAATGCCATCTTCCGTTTTGCTTTCTAATATCGTGTTATGAAATGGAAGCTAAGTTGTTTCGAGATATCATTATAATAAAGATTCCGTTATCAGGCGGGATCGACATTCCGATCAACATTGCTTTCATCTTCTTCATATCTTTTCCAAATGCGCATGCTCGAAACACATGTACTAAAAAGCCTTTTTATCAGTTCTGTTTGGACAGATAAACTTTAACTAATTCTTCTGTGATTTAAAAGTCTAGCCTTGATTTGTTGGTCTTCGAAAAAAAAAGTTTATTGGTGGAATGTTAAGAATTTTTTAAGAACTTTCTTGTTTGGTGTCACTTTCACTAAACATCTTAACTCAGTTCATGACGTCAATTTTAGTACGAGATATTTTCCTGGCGTTCTATGAATTTTTGATAACCATGATTTCAGTTAAACTATTCCTCTATATCATAGTAAATTATTGTCATTGTTTTAAGGGCACAACACCTTTAGGCGTATGGTGTTTTTCAAACAATCGTAAAAGCATGAATTGACATAGCGTTATCCTTATATTATCAGGTTTAATGTGCACATTGGGATTGAAATCGAGACGATGGGGTTTGTAATCAAGGATGTAAAATACATAAATAAAATACTTATGTACCAGGAAGGTGGGGTCGTATACTAGGACACTTAACACTTAACATGGAAAGTACTATCTGAACACATGCGTCCTCTTGAATCCTCAATCAGAGTTTTATTTGGAATGCTGGCATCTATGTACCATGATATTATTTAATTATACACGGTGTTTCTCATGCTTTAACACACATGTACATGTCTTAAATAACACGCTTAAAAAACAGGCATGCTCGTTATTATGAGCATTTTAAACATGACAATGACCTTTTGTTGAGATATGCGAGACTAAATTCCATATGGAAAAAAATACTACATTGAACCATGGATTATAAATAGATAATTTACTGGTGCGGACATGTGGACTATAGGGCCTGGCATTAATATCTATATTTAGTTAAGGGTACCATACATCATCACATATGTTGAAACATGTTATCTGGATTTATTATAAAGACCTGCTGGATATGAAATTAGTCATGTTTGGAAAATCTGGAAAAAAAATCATTGGAATGTTCACGTGTATTTAAAATTTTGGACCTATCGGTGCAGTTTTTACTCACTGACCCATAGGCGTTACACATCTGTCCAATCCATAGGTCATCATTTGCCGACAGGTGAAATGGATCGGATCGGAGATGATATGTCTAAAATTCCCGTACTATTAGTACGAAACCTTCCTTCTATGTAGGGAATCTTGGCCGTGTGTCATGTGTCAACATCCACTCATCTCAATTACGGTAACATCGAGATAATACAGGGATGTTTTCACATACAAAAAAGTGATGATTAATTCCGGAAAGTACGACTAACCACGTGTACCATTTGTATGATTTATATCCGTTGATAATTAACATTGGATTTAATGCATTTGAACTTTATGTTTTTGTATGACATAACTTTATGTATAACTCATGAGTCTGCCTCATCGTGAGATGGCAGACAGGGAGAGGGGTTAAGAAGGTTGAGTCACTAGTTCCCGGCTATCACTCCAATTCCTGTCATATAGTTCCAGTTTCTAGTCAATATCCAAGTATCTATTTTGCCAGTATGAATTCCATTATAGTATGCTTCTTTTTAATCACATATCAAGTAATTTCCGAGGATACAATGCAATGTGTGCGGGAGGGGTGTTGTTTACGGACAAAGTCCCTGGGAGCTGTAGAAATTTTAATAATTGGAATGAAATGAATAGTAAATAAATCACGTGATTAATAGATATACCCGTCTTAATAGGAATAAAACGTATCGGATAACATGGTCAGAATATTACATATACCTATTCATGGCCCAAAAATCAGGACATATCATCGTTTCTTCTAGATACACGTACAACATACATTATATAATGTCTCGGCTACCTATCCATAAGTTTCCGACAAACACTTCTGTACAAGTTTATTTAGAAATATGACAGTAAAGTGGTGGCTTCCTTCTAAATACTGCGCTCACTAAGATTTCTCAACTACATTTTCACGCTTTTTGTCGGCAAATATTTCAATATTTTCAAACAAAACAATGACATAAGAAATATGCTTTTACTGTCATTTGATTATAATTGAGAAAAAACTATATTGAAAGAATCGGGATACAGCTAAATCGTTAATTAATCAGGATACAGCTAAATCGTTAATTAATCAGGATACAGCTAAATCATTAATTGATAAGGATACAGCTAAATCGTTAATTAATCGGGATACAGCTAAATCGTTAATTAATCAGGATACAGCTAAATCGTTAATTAATCAGGATACAGCTAAATCGTTAATTAATCGGAACACAGCTAAATCGTTAATTAATCGGGATACAGCTAAATCGTTAATGAATCAGGATACAGCTAAATCGTTAATTAATCAGGATACAGCTAAATCATTAATTGATAAGGATACAGATAAATATTTGATTAAACAGAATACAACTTAATTGTTAATTAGAAAACGGTTCACAGCGTGAGCTTACTATTTCAAAGAATGTTCTGTAGACGTAATAAAATTTTATTCAAGAAGTAAAAGTGAAATGGTATTGTATCGCTTTACACTGACACACTGTATCACACTGAATCACGTCCCACAGCGGTGTCACATACAGGGCTGAATACTAATGATCACACGTGCTCATTTATTTATGTTTGAAAATAACACCTTGTTATGTAGAATCATAACTGTATTGGTAAAACATTATTTGTTCCCACGGCTCAGTTAAACCCTGTCAAATTCGTGGGACCTAACACCTGTGTGTAGAATCGCACGTGATTGATCCTATGCATTACTTATATACTAAGTGCCATGACTACATCAATTGTACCTGGGGCTGCACTGTATTTGCTATTGATGACTGTATGAGTATCATATTCTTAACGTTATTCATTAATTGATTTCTACAATTATAATCACCTATCTATATTTACCATCAGGATAGCATAGGTTTAGTCTTGATAACGCTGCGTGTGTCTTTGGCTGCAACCTGTGTTTGTCTATAGCCACCACAATCTAGATATCCCAGCATATATCTGTAGCTAGTGTCGGTCAAACCAATTACTACCTGTCTATAACTACCACATGTATATATATGATACCTGTCTATATCTACCACCTGTCTTTAACTACCACCTGTCTATAACTACCACCTGTATATATATAATACCTGTCTATATCTACCACCTGTCTATAACTACCACCTGTCTATATCTACCACCTGTCTATAACTACCACTTGTATATATATAATACCTGTCTATAACTACCACCTGTATATATATGATACCTGTCTATAACTATCACCTGTATATAACCACCACCTGTATATATATAATACCTGTCTATATCTACCACCTGTCTATAACTACCACCTGAATATATATGATACCTGTCTATAACTACCATCTGTATATATATGATACCTGTCTATATCTAGTACCTGTCTCTACATACCATCTGTCTATAACTCTCACCCGTCTTTATCTATCGTCTGTCTATATCTGCTACCCGTCACTTACTACTACCTGTCTATACCTGCTACCTGTCGATAACTTCCACCTATCAATGCCTACCACCTGTCTATACCTACCACCTGTCTATAACTACCACCTGTCTATACCTACCACCTGTCTATACCTACCACCTGTCTATAACTACCACTTGTCTATACCTACCACCTGTCTATATCTACCACCTGTCTATACCTACCACCTGTATATACCTACCACCTGTATATATATAATACCTGTCTATATCTACCACCTGTCTATAACTACCACCTGTCTATACCTACCACCTGTCTATATCTACCACCTGTCTATACCTACCACCTGTCTATAACTACCACCTGTATATATATAATACCTGTCTATATCTACCACCTGTCTATATCTACTACCACCTGTCTATAACTACCACCTGTTTATACCTACCACCTGTCTATACCTACCACCTGTCTATATCTACCACCTGTCTAAAACTACCACCTGTTTATACCTACCACCTGTCTATATCTACCACCTGTCTATACCTACCACCTGTCTATAACTACCACCTGTATATATATAATACCTGTCTATATCTACCACCTGTCTATATCTACCACCTGTCTATAACTACCACCTGTTTATACCTACCACCTGTCTATACCTACCACCTGTCTATATCTACCACCTGTCTATAACTACCACCTGTTTATACCTACCACCTGTCTATATCTACCACCTGTCTTTATCTACCACCTGTCTATAACTACCACCTGTCTATAACTACCACCTGTCTATACCTACCACCTGTATATATATAATACCTGTCTATATCTACCACCTGTCTTTATCTACCACCTGAATATATCTACCACCTGTCTATAACTACCACCTGTCTATACCTACCACCTGTCTATAAATATCGGCAAACGGATATACATCGGGAAGACAATTCAGAACTCAAACATTGAC